TCATTGCTTAGGAATAAGGTTCATGGACTTACAAACTACATTTTAGTTTAGGCCCATGTCCTTGTTGGTGGAGGATCATTTCCCCAGAGATGATGCTCCCATTGAAGTTGTTTCAATGTACATACTAACCTTACTTTTTATTATTTTAGGGAAGCAACGTGAAAAGATTTGTAAACTTATTGTGCTAATGATTTATTTAGCCAGCGGTAGGGCTCTACCTAGCTAGGATATACATTTACTGTATAAATGTAAATAAGATATTGATATATATGTAAAATAACTGTATTTCTACTGTAAACTAAAAAGTTCTTGTTGCTATGTGTGATGCCACATTTCTGTTTTATCCTTAAAGGCTAAGTTCATTTTTATTTCTAAATTCCAGCTCCCCAGTGTACCAATATACCATTAATGTACCTCTGTTGCAGAAAAATAAAAGCTTTCTTTGATTTTAAGAACAAGGTCTTACCTTAGCCCTTGCTGAATTTCTTAGAAAGCTTCATCACTTGCTGGTATGTAGATTTAGGACATAAAAAACAGTAAGACACAGGAAGGATTTCATCAGCTGACCACATTAGCACACACCTGTGGCTTCCTTCCCCCCTTCTAGAAAAACACTACCACCCACTTCCACAGGTGCACAGTTTTCTATTGCAATTAATCAGTGATCACAGTTCTAGCTAAATACACAGGCCTCAATTTTTTTTTCTATCCTAATTTCATTTTGCATAGAGTGTTCATTTAGCATGTGCATTTTAGAGTGTGCTGAGCGATCAGAAAACAGCCTATGTAGATAGAGCTGTAGTACTGAAAACAGGAGAAGTGTCCTGTGTTCTGTAAAGCTCACCATACACGACACAATCTGATTGTACAATCTCCTTTAGATCTACCATCAACTATGTAGTGCATTGACCTGCCTGATTGGATAGATGGTGTGTCCTCCTATGATATAGTTTTGGTAAATCTAAAGAAGATCGTACAAAGATTATACAATCAGATTGTATAGTGTATGGCCACTTTTATACATCTAAAATTAATTAGTTGCGCTTTTGGTGCCATAAATTTTATTTTTTTTTAATTCTTTTTATTAATGTTTACAAGTACACAACACCACTTATATAGCAAAAATGCAGTAACTACAATCAACTGGCCCAGCCAGTAAAAAAGAAACTTCCCACCCCAAACCTTAATGCAAGCCCTCCAATAGGAAAGGATCAGAATCCAAATACCCCAAGATAATAAAGTAATGACATCTAAGACAGTGCAAATGGTGCCATTAATTGTTAACGAGACACCAAACACAGCTATAAGCACACATTTTGGCATTGGAAAAAATGAGTGACAAATGCAGCAAAACACACAGTAAAAAATGTGCAACCCCCATCATGCCAAAATGTCCCATGAGCTACTTTGCCACGTGTAGCGCAACCCTTTGAAATCAACGGGCTGCCCTATGTGTGTCACTGTGATGCAACAAGGAAGTGAAGGTTTCTGGGAGATGCCTACAAGAAATGAATTCTGAAAGATGATCTACAGGAAGTGATGGAATCTTAAAATCATTAAAAAAAAGTCAAATAAACTGACACGATTTTAAATGTCCTGTGGATAATGTAAGTGAGAGAAAAGCACATTGGGATGACCGGGACAGAAATGGCAATGGAAAATGCTTCTAATTATTATGAAAAGTGAAATTCTGCCTGAAAAGGCGAACTTATACTTTAATCCCCTTTTCCCCCTCCACTCTAGCATGGGATACCCACACTCCTGGTACCAGAAGCTATTTTTTGTGCCTCAGCCCTTTAGGACTGGGCCTCTTTCTTAGATGAGAGTGGATTTAGCACCCTCCTAGTTTAGAGAAGGCTGTTAGGCAAATTTAGTTTGGCTCCTTTGTAATCAGAGAAGCAGGAGTGGATTGCTTAGGGCTGCTCAGGGTTTCACTGGGTGCTACTCTGGAACATAGTGAGAGGAAGGACTGCCTGAATATTTATGGCACTCTAGCCAATCCCTGGGGAGGTGTGCCTAGAAGGTGGTGAGAGAGCCCATAAATAGTCTGAAGCCTCAGCAGAAGGGTGCAGTGTTCCTAGGTCCAGTTTTTCAGGAGTAGATCCCTGTGCAGGGGCTCTGCCCCCTGGGCAGAAGTCTGGAGAGGCAGCCAGAAGACACTGAGGTACCAGCTAAGCTTAGTTGGGGAGCCTATTCGCAGCTCAAGTCCAGGGATCTGGTTGGGTCAGGAGAAGCTCACTGGAGAGAGCCAGGAAGAAGTTGGTGGGGAAGAGTCCAGCTGTCTTATGGTGGTGTGAGCCTACATCTCCCCCACTAGGAAGGGCCTGGTGGATATCAGCAGGAGGCAACTAATGATCTTGTGACTATAAGACCCCAGTGCTGAGGAATACTGACTGTGCGTAGCTTTAAACTTTGGATGGAGTACAGGTTACCATCAGCATAGAGATTGTTTGTTGTTTGATTTATTTGTGTGCAGTGCAGCCAGAAGTTTGGGCAGTGTATCGAGAAGCTGTGTGCACTACAGCAAGAAGTTTTTGTACAGAGCAGCCAGAAGTGGAGCAGTCCTCAAGTTGTACAGCTTTACAGTTTTTGGGGTATTCCATGTTCCATATTCATAAGTTCATCATTCTCCCAAAAAACCCAAAAATAAACCCCTAAACTGTTCTTTGGAGCTAGTAGTAGAGTGTTGGAAATGCTGTGTGTCAGGCTGTGAGTGTCTAAGGGGGAAGAAGGACTTAATTCACCAGTGGCTGTTATGGGGTGTGCTACCTAGTGTGTATGTCGGGAAAACTAGTCACTGGAGTAGAACAGAGAGAAAAAAGCAATTAACTTCAACTTTTGCATGCTGGAATGATTGTCCTATTTTTATCTAAGGACAATAATATGTCACAATGTTTTTGCAATTTTTTAGAAATGTTTTCCAATTTGAACAATGTTGCCAATATTGTGTTATTTTTATTTTCTATGCAATCTGAATACAATAATACATCAAAATATTTTCCACATATACCAGTGTTGCCTTTAAAACAAATTTATTGATTGTAGATAAAAAGTGCTCTGATTTGTTCCATGTTAATCACTTACCTACCAGGTACTTTTACCCCCTTCCTGCCCAGGCCAATCTTCAGCTTTCATCGCTGTTGCACTTTGAATGACCATTGTGCGGTCATGCAACACTACCCATATGAAGTTTTTATCATTTTTTGAGACAAATAGAGCTTTCTTTTGGAGGTATTTAATCACCACTGAGTTTTTACTTTTTGCTAAACAATCAAAAAAAGACCACAAATTTTGAGGAAAAAAAAGGATTTTCTTAGTTTCTGTTATAAAGTTTTGTAAATAAGTGATTTTTCTCCTTCACTGATGTGCACTGATGAGTCTGCACTAATGGGCACTGACAGGCTGCACTGATGGATGTTGATGAGGCTGCACTGATGTGGTGCTGATGGGTCCATCAGTGGGCATTGATAAGCACTACTGATGGGCACTGACAGATGTCACTGATTGGCACTGACAGGCATCACTGAGGAGGCATTGATAGCCAGCACAGATGGGCACTAATAGCCAGCACAGATGGGCACTGAAAGCCAGCACAGATGGGCACTATTAGCCAAACTGATGGGCACTGATGAAGCTACACTGATCATCAGGGTACTGATGATCAGTGCCCTGATGATCAGTGTAGATGCCCCCCTGAGAAATGCCTCTTACTGGCTCTCCTCTCCTCATGCGCTGTCGGTGTGAGGAGAGGACTGCCAACAACCAGCATTTCCTATTTACACTGTTAACAGCTGTGATTGGACACAGCTGATCACATGGTAAAAGGCAGCTCTTATTAGCCCTTTACTTGGACACGTGAACAGCTAAGTCCAGATCCATGGACAGCCCTCCCAGAACTAGCCGACCATGCTATAGCCATATTTTGGCTAGAACGTGGTCGGGGAAGTGGTTAATGTTCCATTTTAATTAAATTTTTCATGTACAAAGCATAGTGAAGTTATTTATGAATGACAGACAGATTTTTTTTTTTAAACTTTGTGCATTTTTTATTAAACACGACAGAACAACAATACCAAATGAAGCTGAAAAAAAATTAATGACTGCAAACAAATGAATCATAAAAAGTAATAAAGATACTTTAAAAAATAGCAAAAAATAATAGCTAAACAGAGAAGGGGAGGGAGGTGTTAGTTAGCTATGGTGTAGGATTATTAACTAAGTTTTAAATAGGAACAATTTGTCAAAGTTTTATTTCAGTTTGTTGCTTAACTGACAGTAGGTGCAGCTCAAAGTTCAAACACATTAGTCTGTGCAATATTAATCACACTATACCAAAAATATTCCTCAGCAGGCAAGGAATGGATGAACCTAAAAAGGTACAGCTAAGGTACTAAGAGGACATTTTTTGGACATTACGCCTCTGCCCCAGGTCCACAATTGATAATTTAGCAATAACAGCTAGGAAGATATCCCTTTGCTTCCTGTCATTCCTATTATTAACATATCTCAATTTTGTATTGTCCAACAGAAACAAAGCAAAACAAGATCATAAACCTTCCTTGCTTTGTTTTAAATGAAAAAAATGGGAAGAGTCTATCCAAAAATCAGTAAATCCTAGTTTAATAAGGATTCTGTTTGGTCGAATTACCCACTGAATTCTTAATGAGACATCACCTCTACAGTAGCAGCAGACTCCAAAAAATTCAGATTTAATTAGGAACTCTTATGCAGGGTGCTTAGTACCAGAAACCAAAGAAAAATAAGCACCTGCCACAACTAAACCAGACCTTTTGAAATGCATGCATTTAGCATACAATGTGTGCTTTCTAATAATGTATTTTCTTTAAATACTTACAGATGTACATGCTAAAATGTCTAATTTCTCTTCTTTTTGTAATAACAGGTTCAAAGAGTTTTCACTGAACAAGAATGTCACATTTGTGGATGGATTTCTATTTTTAGGCCTAGTGACTTTACCAGTATACCAGACATGGGTTTTTATGATAATTACTCTTGCTTACATTATGACTATAGCTGCAAACTCTATGGTTATAGTTGTTGTCTGCTTTGATTCTCATCTTCATACACCCATGTACTTCTTTTTAGTGAATCTCGCTATAATCGAATTATTGTACACTACGGTGATCATTCCAAATACTTTAAGCAATCTACTAAGTGAAAACCAGCATATCTCATTTGTAGGCTGTTTTACTCAGATGTTTACATTCATAACTTTAGGAGGCTCAGAATGCATTCTGCTTGGTTTAATGGCGTATGACAGATATGTAGCCATATGCCAACCTCTGCTGTATACTGCCATCATGAACAAGTCCCTTTGCATCTATATGACAATTACCTGCTGGACTATTGGATTTATAACATCAGTAGTGAACACTGTTCTTACAGCTATATTACCCTACTGCCGTGATCGCCTTATTAGACATTATTTCTGTGAGCTTCCTCCACTTCTGAAGATTTCTTGCAAGAGCACGTACATTAATGAATTGGTAGTCTTCCTTTTAGGTGGCAGTGTGATTGTTGGTTCCCTTCTTCTAACTCTAATCTCATACATCTTTGTCATACGGGCAGTAATCAAGATCCCCAGTGCTAGTGGAAAGAAAGAAAAAAACCTTCTCTACGTGTACTTCTCACCTCCTGGTGGTCAGTATCTTCTTTGGGACAGTCATCTTAACATATCTCCATCCAACTTCACAGTCATTTTATAATAAGGATCACATATTTTCCCTGACATATGCTGTGGTCACTCCTCTTATTAATCCTTTATTATACAGTTTTAGGAATAAGGATGTTCAAAGGGCACTATGGAGGATTTTGCAGCGATGGTGGACAGTATTTAAATGATGCTCCACCAGCAGCAGTATTCTCCCAGAAAATGTGTGTAAAGTTCCACAAATGCAAGGATTACTGAAGGCCACTCACCATCCCAATGTCCAGAAAATGTTCTCATAGGTACAGTCTGACAATTGAAGGTGGTTCCTGCAGGCTTCATGGAGGAAAATGGGATGCAGTGCAGACTGTCCTGGCTGAATGAGGGCAGATGAGAAGTGGACCGCAGTGCCCCTCTGGCACAATGGAAGTGTCGGCTGAATGAAGGGTCATAAATAAAGTTTAGTGCTCATTCTTCCCTGCCAACACCCCACTTGGCTTTCTTATAGCCTCTGATCTCAATACACTGTCATTTTTCTCCTCTCACTGCATTCCTGTGTCCTTTTTCAGGCACCTGGGCATCATAAAACGGTCACCCTGTTAAGGTCCTCCCTTACATTGAGAAGACTTAAGTCCAAGAAGTCAATGATGTTTCTCCTTTCCATTCCCTCTTCCTGCAGTCTGTCAGTTACCAGCAGAGAAGGAGACATGAACTGTGGCAAGGATGCAAGGGCTGAGCTGAGCAGTTTAAAAGGACCACTGCCCATGGCTACAATATTTACTTGCAGATCTCAATAAACAACTATTGTACGGGGAATATCTAAGCAATATAGTGAGTAAAAATACACTGGTAGCCAGAGGAAAGAATAACATGATATATTGTCATGTATCGTAGATAAGAGCATATACAAAACATAAGTGATACACAAAATATCTGTAACGCTACTCTTGTGAGGGCTGCTGTGTTGTGGGTACCACTAAGCTCTGCACAGTCAGGCAACAGGTATTGTTTTCACACAGACTCACATCCAAGAGACAGTAACCGGTTCATGGGCTTGGTTTTGTTATTTTATTAGAGGAAATTAACTTGGATATGGAAATAAGGATTATGGGATGCCCAGTTGGCTTGAATCAATGAAGGGGGGACAACTTATGTACAAAGTCAGATCCTGGACTGTTCTTTTCTGTGAAAGCGGCAAATTTTTGCTGATCAGTAGCAACAGCCCTTTATGGATGAGGAACTAGCAGTTCCTCCAGAAATCAACATAGCTTCTTGTAAGTACATGCAGAGATATCTTCTCTTCCCCTGCAGAGCTGCTCCTAGCTCCACAGCCTGCAGACACTACCAACCCTCCTGGCTGCTTAGAAGATTTCCTAGGACAGGGATAAAGGACTGAGCCCAGCGCTGTCCTTTGTAAGCTTGCTACATGTGGTAGTCTTTCCCTTTAATCCCAGGGAGTAATGATGTACTCACTCTGTCCTCTTTGCTCCTCACTGCTCTAGGTCTCAATCTCATTCATGCCACACTGCTGAATGTATCCAGCTCAAGCCCAGCCTGAAGGCTGGTCCCCCCTAGACCTAGGGGACTCCTCCCAGGCACCAACAGTCTCCTCAGCACTCCATCTTCCACCTGACTCCTCTGTCAGCCTGACTGGGATTGGCCAGACTCCCATAAACATGCAGATTAGGTCTCCACCCCTTCCTGCTTACCAACATCTGGAAGGTTCTATGGTCCTCCAGAGTCAGGAAGAGGCAATAGAGTCACAACCTGTTAAGTCATCTAGCTGACCTGCAATAACCTGACCTCAATCACAGACTCACACAGTTACCATGAGTCTTACACAATGATTTTACCTGCAATACACTGCATTATTCTAGTGGAGGGTGCTACACATCTTTATAGTAAAAATTGGGCTCACATTGTATATCTTTCCTAGAATGCTGCCAAAGAATTTGTTTTCAAATTTGATTTGAAGAGATGTCAACAGTAATACAGGGAAATAAATACATTTGAAGATAAAACACCTTCAAAAGGTGGAGAAAACCCAAAGGTAGCAGAACAGGGTTATTTTGTCTGAGCAAGCTTTCCATGTAAGTGTAACACTACCCCTGAAGGGGCTGCTAGATTATGCTTGTCCCTGGTTGTTGCCCTGACCTTGCAAGCTTCTCGACCCTTCTGAAATTCTGGGTTCAGACATTCTTAAACACAGAATTAATGCTCACCAAATTAGTGACAATGAATATTAGCACAGAGTCTAATAGAAAACAAGATACACAATTATTTAGCAGCCACTATAATAGTAATAGCTCCAGTTAATAGTTGAATAGTCCACAACAATCCCAAAGAGGACATCAAATTTGTGAACTCTAAGTACAATACCAAGTAGTTAAGTAATACTATGGTAACAATGTCAATGTATATGCACAGTATCTAGACAGGTTAAATCAATTAAAAGGTATTAGGTACACCTTGCTAGTGCTAAGAAAATATCCCCCACACCATTACACCAGCACCACCAGCCTGAACCGTTGATACAAGGCAGGATGGATCCATGCTTTCGTGTTGTTTATGTCAAATTCTGACCCTACTATCTGAATATCACAGAAACCAGTCTGCCCAATAGTTGTGCGTGAAAATCCCAGTAGATCAGAAGTTTTTGAAATACTCAGACCAGCCCGTCTAGCATCAACAACCATGCTACATTCAAAGTCTTCTTTACCACATCTACATGCCTAAATGCATTGAGTTGCTGCCATATGATTGGCTGATTAGCAATTTGTGTTACCAAGCAATTGAAAAAGGTGTATCTAATAAAGTGGCCTAATAAAGACACACACACACACACACACACACACACACACACACACACACACACTATATAGGGTGAACTGGATGGACCTATGTCTTTTTAAACCTTATCAATTACAGAATGGTAACACCCTCCTAGATACGTGCTAGGAGTAGATAGACTTAGTTTTGGCTCCCTTGTGCCCAGTGAAGCTGCTTTTTTTTTGTCGTTAGATACATTTATCTTGTGTAGCACCTACTCTCATAGGAGCCGCTGTGAATTTGTCCAGGTTCTTCCCAAATAGATAGCCCCACAGCCAGGCACATTAACACAGTCACTTATTTCCGCAATAACCAGTCTACGGGTGTTGTTTTTATTTTTTTGAAAACTTGGATAGGGATGAGGGGATTGAGTGGGATGCTCCAAAAACAGAAATTATTTACAAATTAAGGACAGTGTACTCCTTTCTGTAAGGCTGAAGCAAACGTCCTTGCAGAGAGCAAACTGTGGACTTGGTTTGTAATAGAACAGTAAAATCACTGAGGCTTCCTTCTTTAGAGCAACAAGATCAGTAAAGAACACAGGCTTTTTTCTTTGGAGCACACAAGAGCAGAGTTCCTTCACAGAGAGCTAGGCAGACTAAGCTCTTTAGGACACCAGCTTTAGCAAACACACAGAGCTGACTCTCTAGCACCAGAAAGGTGGAGTGGCAGCAGCCCAAAAAGTCTCTAAGATCTCTCAGCAGGCTGTACTCCTTCCAACCTAAAGCGACACTTTCCTCCAGTGATACCAGACTAGATCTTCAGCAAACAGCCCCTCAGTCAGCTCTCAGTATCTTCAGCACATGGCAGGGTAGCTCAGGGAAGCAAACAGCCCCCCTCAGGCTGTGTTCCTCTCCTACTGGGAAAAGGCCCCAAGCTTAGTGTGCTCACCGAATATATACAGTCTCCCAGCATGCCATCAGAGCCTGCCTCTCTGGATTAGGCCAGGGCTGTATCAATATTCATGCTGCCATCTGCATAGCTCCACATTTATCATACAGAAACTCAAGCTCCCTGGATGCAGAGGGAGCTATGAGACTGGCAGCAGCTGAACACACTCAGCAGACCTAACTAGCAGAATGCAGCTTCTCTGAGTACAGTGGGCGAACTATGCTTTTACCTAACAAACAATCATAGCCACACTGACTACAGTGTGGCAACTAAATTTACCTATCAAAACACATTATCATTATCTATCTATCTATCTATCTAAACCTAGCACCTGTCTAGGAGCTGTCTGTTGGATCTGGTCTGAGGTCACTGTTAGAGGTGTCTGGAGGACATTGGAAGGAGGCATCCATTCCTCTGAGAACATTTTTGAGTAGAGACTGTGTGAGAGATCCTGGAGACTGAGTTCTGCTGCCACCCCTCTGGTGCTAGAGAGCCAGCTGTGAATGCAGAAAAGGGGGGCATCGGCTGTTGAAGAACTCAGTTCATTTTTTTCTCAGGTAAAAGAGACTTTGCTTAAGTTGCTTAAAGACAGAAAATTGTGCCTTTATCTGCTTCAGCCAAGCCAAGTCCATTACTGGCTCCTACAAGGACTGTGCTTAAAGTGCTGCAGAAGAAAGGTAGTGTTCTCATCTTGTACAGAGTTCTTTTTGGATCCTTCCTTTCATCTCCATCCCCATCCAAATTATCCCTAAGAATAAAAACACTAAAAAGAACACTAGACTGTTTACTGCACCAAAGAGTAACTGTGATTGTGTGCCTGGCTGTGGGGCAAAACTACAGGAAAATACCTCAGGGACTTGTTTAACAGCTTGTAGGCAGGAACGGTTTGTTTTCCCCACTGTAGGTGGCGCTCAAATCAAGCGCCTAGAGAGGAAGTCTAAGGGAATTGTTTTCTCTATGGTTTCCTGGGTCCCTGCCCCCAGTTTTTGGCATGCTTCTAGCATGTGGCTAGTATAGGGAGAGAGACCCCACTTGTTAGGGACAGCAACTAGAGGTAGGGAAAGGTTCCTGATAAGGAGGAATAAGTTAAGGACTCGGTACCCTGGAAAGGAGCTTCCCCCTTGGGACTGGACTGGCCAGGCCACACTTCACCCTCTGGAACAGACACTGTCGGCACCTCTCCTTCATCACATCTGA